AAAAAAAAAACACAATAAAGTTACCAAACATGAGTTATTAAATCTTCAACTGTTGTTCACACTCATTATTTTCTTGGCCTGAGGTGGGCGATACATTTTACAAGAGGCTGGTGAGCGTTATCTTTTATGAGATTTTACTTTAAATTTATCCCAGGCATGTTTTAACTGTCTGGACGCTCACCAGAAATCTGCTCAGCCTCTTCACGGTCAAATATGCCTTCTATATTGTCTTTATTTTATCCCTTTTGCGAGGACGTCGTACATTCGCTGTGTCCTATGAGCTCCTCGATAAGTTGCCGTAACTTGCGGACTCGTGCTTCAAGTCCAACATCAACAAAAAGTGTGGAGAAGAGGACCTTTAAATACCCCATAATAAGGATCAGAACCATTTCTTGGAATAGTTTCTGTTAAGCTCCGCTGTAGTAACAAACTGAGGGGGAGTCTGGGGGTGTTGGGAGGGTGGCTCTGCATTGCCGAGAAATCCTCTTAAATCGGATTTCCAGATAAAACTGTAAGCAACACTCAGGATTAGTCGAGCACTGAGGCGTAGGGATGAACAAATGCGATTAAGCATTTACATAAATGGCTTTTTGATAGAATTTTTGTTCTTTTAGAAAAGGCACTTTGAATAAATTAGATTTGTTTCTGTTAATTATAATGTGTCAGTCCTTGTCTGACCTCCGATACACAGTCGCATTAAGTACAAACTCCTCAACACTCCAATCCTCACGACCCAATCCTTGGCTACAGTTTGATTTATAACATCTTTTTTTTAATGGACTTAATTGATTAAGATTTAACTTTTCAAAGGTTGTTTGGAGTTCAGGGTGATATAATGGTTATTTTTGCCTCAAACCCTGGGCAACGGACATCAGCCAAAGATAATGCACCTCACAAAGCGATCCCTTCTAATGGCCAGTTCATGGTTTCCTCATGATACGGACACGCTGTTGTACCCAGAACTCACACTGCGGTAGGAACACAGGTATCAGCTTAGTAATGGCCTAATGCAAAAGACAAAAGGATCAACAATGGGGGATGGATACAGCAGCTGATGGCTTTATCTCCTGTGGTGTATCATGGTTGACGACAAACAATGCAGAACTTTGTTATGTAGTAATGGTAGAACCCAGAACCACCATGAAATACTAGGTTGAGATAGACGTGATTATACGTTTTGTCCCGTATCAGATGACAGCAACTGATGCTTGTATGCCCCAAAACATTTCAAAGAAAAGTAGCCTATCAGATTTTGTAATTGAACCTTCTCTTGCATTATCTGACAGCTTTGTGTGTTCCATAACCAATCGAAAGAAGGAGGGTTTTTTTTTTTTTGCGGGCAACATGGCAAACAGATTGAAGGTCAGACAACTCAAACTGTCCTCTTCAGACAATCTGCAGCCACTTCAGTCAAGAGTATTGCACAAAGAATATTGTATGAAGCCTTTAAGAGACAATGAACTTTAAAATATATATTTCTACATAAGAAACTTTGCATATATTTTAAAATCTGTGTGCTACTTCGTGGCGAAAAGGCTAGCGTCCACCACTGAGGTCATGTGATTGCCTGCCGACCTTGGAGATTCCATCTCGCCTGCATCCAGGTTTCTGCCACTGCACACCATTGTTTTCTGATATTCTTGCATCTACGAGTCCACGGCACCTACTTCCTGATGACCGTAACTATAGTTGACCGGGTCTGTTATGTCTCTCGGTGAAGTCAAGGCAGGAATTTTTGAATCCATGATGTCTTGATCTGACACAGTAAAAACTATGGTGTCGTTTAAACCCAGCACAGGAGGACTTCTAGTAGCAATTTCAGTTCATTTTACAATGCTGAGGGTAAACTGTGATGTAGAGCTGCAACAATTAATTAATTACTTATTTGTCAACTACTAAGCTATTTTATAAATTAACCAGTTTTTAGTACTTTCTCCAGAAAAAAAGTCAAAATCTTTGATTCCAGCCGCCATATTTCATGGTTTCTTTAATCGTCTATGACAGTAAACAGACAACTCATGTCATCTATAGACCAAACAGCTAAATGATTTTTCAAGAAAACAATTTACAGATTCAACGACGTATCACATATCCAGGTCTGCAAGGGATGCAAGTAATACTGTGTCTTTTGGTCCATCAGATGTCAGATACTGAAAGGTCTCGTACATGTTCCAAAATGACAATAAGTTTTCTTTTAATGGCTAAAACAGTGTGTTGTTGAGTAGATAACAGGAATGTCAGCCGTATGCAGGTTTACCACTGGAGCTGTGAAATGTCGCACACAGAAGAATCCTTATTAGACCATCGGTATTTATTGTGTCTGATTTGTTCCACCGCTTATACGTTATTGAGTATTAGCGAGTTCTCATAGTTTCAGGAACCGAGAGCCAAACGGAGCAACAGTGCCAGTAAAAGCCTCTCTGCGGTGGATGAGCCTCGATTCCTGGAAGTCTATTCAGAGAGCTGGTCAGGGGTCTGTGAGTGGGAGGTGGCCCACAGAGGACCAGAGATATGTATTAGATTTAATATTCAAGCAAAGTTGATCTTATATGCAAAAAATTCCAAGCATGTCATATTTTGTCAGCATCATGCAACGCTCAAGCCTAAGCTGAAATACTACTTTGGTGGTTTGGCAGGAAGCGGGGGATCCATAACTGCCTTTAAATGAAGTAATCCCCGCAAACAGTGTTGTTCAATTAAATGAATAAATGCAAAGTCCAAAAAATAAAAATAAAATTTCATTATGTGATTCCCAGACTGGTTTAATGCGATTGTGGTTGAGGAGGCGCCTCGTGTCATCATGGATGACAGAGTGAGTGACATCAGAGACGTCTCCTCCTTCACATGCAGTCTGAAGACGTTCGCAGACGGAGCACAAGGAGGAGCATCGTTTCTGGATCGTTTCTGGATCAGCAGAGAAGTCAGCAGCCCTGGCGGGAGGCCCTCGGCCGGGCGCTCTTTGTGTCCCTGCTCGGTGTTTGGGCTGAAGCCAGGGCGGCTGCCATCACGCCCACATGACCAGACCGACTCATAGAGTCGCTGTAGCAACTGCAACCCAGAGCACAGGGAGGAGGCAGCGGTCAGCTTTGCACCCACTGCTGCTGGCATAGTCTGGAGAAAGTCACAGGTTGCTATGGTGACAACCCAAGTCATGGTGATTACTATTATTTTGAACTGGATGCTAAATGTTTAACTTTGAAGCCAACACTGACGAAACGGAAGATGTAGCTGCTAATGAAGATCATGTGATGTCACTGAAAGCTGCAAAACAGTCACCAAATGGGTAAATACTACTAGCTAAATATACTGTTGTAAGTACATATGGGAAACGTCCATACATCACACCGCTTAATCCTCACTAGGGTCGTAGGGGGCTGGAGTCTATCCCAGCTGACTTAGGGTGAAGGCAGGAGACACCCTGGACAGGTCACCAGTCTATCACAGGGCTACACTTAGAGACAGACAACCAAGCACACTCACATTCACACCTACAGACAATTTGGAATCACAATTAACCTCAACATGTTTTTGGACTGTTGGAGGAAGCCGGAGAACCCGGAGAGAACCCACGCTGCACGGGGAGAACATGCAAACTCCACGCAGAACGATCCCTGGCGTCTTCACTGGGACACGAACCACGGACCTTCTAGTTGCAAGGCGACGGTGCTAACCACCGAATGACCTTGCAGCTCCATGTATAAATACATAAGTACATATGGGAAACAAATTAAAGAGAATCCCTGAACCCTTGAAAAGTGAGGGGATCTGGTGGCTCTGTTATGTTGTGGGGGGCATGTTGATGGTCCTGTAGAGGGAAGGACCACTGCAGGTCAGTACACAGTTGTTTTAAGTGATCACCTTTATCCCATGATGAAACGTTTTTATTTTGAAGGAAGTGGTCTCTTCCAGGATGACAAAGCCCCCCATCCAGAAAATGCCCATACTGAGGAGACGAATGCTCAGTAAAATGAAGAACATTGATGTCAGAAGACTAAGGATAGTTAGACACCAAGGGAAAAAATCAGTTCAGTTGTCAAGAAGTGACAATGTCATGTTCCACTGGCTCAGGTGATGTACAGGCTAAAATCTGTCACTACTTTAGGGTTAAAAGTGGTTTTAAACAAAAAACTCCTACAAAGGTACTCTGGGTTTGGATGGCTACACTTGTACATGTACAAATGTGTTTGTCTAACGTCCTACAGCGCTGACGTTGACTTCTGTGTTCCTGACGATGGGTCACTGAACGATACAATGAGCATGAAAATGATCCCATGACCTCCACAGCCACCAGATCTGAACCCAACTCAACACTTCAGAGATTTTGGACCAGTTTGTTGGACACCACTCACCATCACCAAATGAGGGAATATGTTTTAAAAGAGCGTTGTTCATCCTTCCAGTGGAGTACAGAGACTTGGAGAATCAATGCAAAGAAGCACTAAAGCTCTTCGGTGGACATGTGGAGGTCTAACACTGTGACTATTTCCTTTTTGCCACCTGCCTGCATACACTGAAGTCTCCTGTGTGATGCTTTTCTGTCATTCTGAAATAAAAGGCTGTATTAAAAGCAGGAAATCAGAAAAGAAGCTAACAAATACAAATAAATAAATCTATACAGAAATCTAAACCCTTCTGTCCAAACCATGTCTGGATTAACCTGTTTGGAGGCCCCGGGGGCAAAAGAAAAATCTGTCGGGCCAGTGTCCAAGTTTCCGTCTGGCATAAAGCACGTAGCAGACTGGAGATAGCAGCGTTGTTATGGTTGGTTTCCAGTCATCCAACAGTAGAGCACTCCGGGTTTTCTGTACGTCAGTCAGCTTGTGGCATGTTGATAAAAGTGAACCGCCGGTAGATCACTGGTGGAGGAATGTGTTGCAGTATCTGTGTGTATATGCTAAGTAGGGGGTTTAAAAAGTGCTTGTTAGCAGGTCAGGGTGCTGTTGGTCCATTT